CACCTCAAAACAGATTAATAATTTCTGTTTGATAAACGGCGGTCTTGCTTTTGATCGCGTTGATAAATGGGGCGAATGAAGTAGTTAAGCGTAATGTACGCGAGTTTGTATTGAAGTAGTTAAGCGTAATGTACGCGAGTTTGTATTTGAAGGATCTTCGATTTCGCCATGTATTTTCACATGCAAGACCCTAACATGTCTAATACTTCACTGTCACGAACCATTTTCCCCAAGGAATATTCCTACTTCTTTCCATCTTCCAAATTTGAAAATTCAGAGTACTAATCTTATATATCCTTCAGTTGACTTCACAGAGAAACTTTTCTCTAGTTGCCTAGTACAAAAGGACTTAACTATTGAGGGATTTGCACGTGAAAATATATTCACTATTTCCTGTCCACTTTTGACGAGATTGACAGTAGGGTTGCAAGCGGATTATGGGCAGTTGATATGTAAAATAGTAATTAATGCCCCAAAACTCAAAAACCTGCTTATTGAAATGTTCACAACCGAATACATTTTGGAGAATCTGGAATCAATAGTTACAGCAGAATTGAGAATGGGACGTTGCCCCGATGTTTAAATATTTCACAGTCGTCCAGTTAGGACTACCGATAATCGCTCTACGTGACATACATGTGTCGCTTTGCTATTTGATGCATATATGCCACATAGGATGACTACCGTAGTCTTCACTATGAATATCATTATTACTAAACGAGAGATACAAATAAGTCACTTAGTTTCAATCTTTCATTGAATCAATAACAGCACCCTACCTAAATTAGTGTTGTAGTACCAGTAGTGTTAGATAACATTATTATTTTCGTATGTTCTATCATGTACCATGATCTTACATTTTTATTTTTTATCTCAATTACTTAAAATTATGATTTCCACGAGTGACTATTGTGATCACCACATTCTCTCCCTCTTTGAAGGTACTTAAATCTGCCCAGTGCTTTGATCTACCTACTTTCAGTAACCTCACCAGTCACCAGTCTAGAGCTGTATGTAAATTACTACACTGATCAGGGAATGATAGCTTGTCTATCTGTCCAAATCTAAAATTTCTACTAATACGTAAGGTAGAGTGTTACCATGAACAGTATTTGCTAGTTTCTGCTTGAAATTTTTTACAATTTTTAAATATTCATTCTACCGTGTTAGGAGAATGAAGAGGATTACCTCGAAGAGGAAATGCAAACCAGCCTCCTCAGTGACGTAAAAATGGTGCCTGAATGCTTGATATCTAGCCTTGAAGTTATTGTGCTACAAGAATTTGATGGAACTATACGAGATGGAGACGGTAAAGTATTTGTAGGCTAATGCTCGGGTTTTGGAGGATCTTACCCATGTTCATTAGGCCAGAACTAAAACTTGAGATTTGCAAACAACTGCTACAGCTTCCAAGGGGTTCAACAACTTGTGGAATTCATTTCGACAAGAGGCGGAGTAAGGGTAGGACAAAATTTTTGTTGCACTAGGTCAATACATAAAAAAGGAAAAAAATCATACTGATTTTGACTGAATGTCGAGGCATTGTCGTTTTGGATCATTATGATGCTCCTTTCCCATGAAGTTGACAATGAATATCCATTTGTATCAAAGTCTATTAGTCTACTCTGTTCTTAGTTCATATTCAGATGTGGCCTGTTCATATGGTAAATCATGCTATGGAGATACCGGTTGGTTTTATAGTATAAATTGTCAAAGTACCTATCAAGGATAAGAAATCATTTTGGTCCTATTTGATGTAGAGATTTTCTTGGTTTTTTTGCATAATGTAAAGCTCGAGAATATTTTACACTGCTTTGCCAATTGAGTTCGACTAGATACTCTCTCTTTTTGTCCTTTTTATTTTGTCAATTGCATTTCAAATATGCTAAACTCCAGAGAAATAGACAGAATATTAGACAAATTTGTCACTCTTTTTTTCTCAATTGTATCCTGTCATGTTTATTCGAGCGTTTTCAGTTTTAAAAACAATTCAATAGTATACACAGAATAACGAAAGACCAATGACATAGATTGTGTGGAAATGGTTTGTAGGCTAAAGGGCGTGGGAGGGTTTGGTTTCGTGATTAGAACTGTTTCAGTATGGCACTGGTAGCAACACAGACGTGGCGAATGTTCTCCAATCTAGATTCCCTGCTGGCTAGAATCTTGAAAGGTAAATATTTTAGGGAGGTTGATTTTTTGGCAGTCGGACCAAAAAATGTATTATCTGTTCTATGGAAGAGTCTTCAATGGGAAGGGAGTTTCTGGTTAGGGGGCTGAGTTGGAGAGTGGGTTATGGGAAACAGATTGAAATTTTCAGTGATAGTTGAGTACCCCGGCCACCATCCTTCCAGATACTTGGACTGGGAAGAGAGGGAGTGGATTTTGCGAGTGATTAGATTGATGCACCGGGGAGCTGGAATATGCAGACGTTGGATGATAACTTCATCTGGATTGATCGTGATCTCATTTTAAACCCACCTTTGAGCCGACTAGGTAAGGAGGATATGGTAATTTGGCACCTTAAGAACAAAAGGGTGGGTGTACTTGGTACAGAGTGGGGAGAGTGTTGTGTAGTGACTCGTTACTTGATGAAGGGACAAGCCAGGAGGTGCAGGTTTCACTATCAAATGGATCATGTGACCTTATCTGCTTGACTAAGATAGCAGTTTTACATCTTCAACTACTTTCCTAGCAAGCCCCTCCAGATGCTTGGGATACCCCAACCAGAAACTAGAATGGACATTACTTAGCAACAGATAAGTAGGGCCACTACATTTGACCAAACACCAGCACTAAAATTATCTTTATCTGGGCCAAACCGGAGCACCAAACACAGCTCAAATGTTTTTGCATGCCTTGTGTTAGATACAAATCTCCAATCCAGATTATAAAAATTTTCCAAAAGTTCAACTCTCATTCGTCTCTATCTAAGAATACATCTCAGTAACTTTAATCTAACTTCCCACCCCACAAAACGGAAACGGAAACAAAAAACAAGGCTTGAGTTTATAACTGTTATCATCAGCTGCTTCTATAGAAGAAATTTGCTTATTGCTATTGTAAATAAATTTAAGTTATTCTCCAATGTCCCAAACTTTCTTTCCATTTGTTGGGATAACATATGAGAACCAAATTGTTGTCTGTGCACACCAAAAATCCAGTCTTTATATAACTAACCTGAGATTCTAAGAAATTACACATCTAGATGCACTACTTCTTAGTCATGGTGCGACAAGTAAAATTGCCTCCTCTGATCACTCTGTCTTAATTTATGCAATCTCTTCGGCTCATCTGAGTTGTAAATCAAAATTTGTATCCCTCATATCAGATAATAGTCTTTGATCATTCTCCAACCATTTCAGTGTAAAGTTTATTAGCTCTCATTTTGTCTCCCTTCTGCAAGTGGCCAGCAACCAGCGTTTTGTAGACATATGAACTCGGAACTAGTGATCGAGCTTTCATTTTCTCCAGATAATGGTCCGCTTCTTTTAATCTCCCCCATTGGCAGAGACTGATAATCAATGAAGTGAAAACCAACGAATCAGGCATAAGTAATTTGTGTTCCATCTCAAAATAAAGCTTTAGAACTCCATCAACATCACCATCTTTACCATAGCCTGCAACAAGATAGGAATATGTACCCTTGTCTGGAACAAACCCTTTATCTAACAAAACAGTCAACATGTCATTAGCCCTATTGGCATCCCCATTTTCACACAGCTTACTAAACATCTCATTAACCGCTGAACAACTAGGAACAAGCCCCGTAGTAACCATTCTCTCACAAAATTTCAAGCTAGCCTCCAATCGTCCAGAAGTAGAACAACCTTTAATCAAATGATTGAAGGTTTCATCATATGGCTTTAGGCCCACATTTTCCATTTCTTCCAAGAACCCAACTGCTTCCTCAATCCTCCCCTTCTCACAATATTCCCCAATAAATAAACTATATACAAAAGCATTCCCTTCAAAACCTCTCTTGAGCATTTCCTCATAAATCTGCTTTGCAGCTTCCAAATTCCCCATCTTCACCTTCGCAAAGACAACCAAAGAATAAGAAATATTATCCAAGATCATATTCCTCTGCAGCATTCGCTTCAACAACACCACTGCATCTTCAATTCTTTCCTCCTCTATCATCCTATACACCAAACAAGTATTTACTATCAACCCAGGAACTGAACACCTCTTCCCATGCATTCTATCCACAATATCAAGAAATTTCTTCAACTTCCCTTCTTTACACAAAGCACCCACCATAATCCTAACAGTCACTTCATTTGGATAAATTCTTGACTCTATCATGTGCTCATACACAGCCCAAACTAAGTGGACTCCCTCAGATTTTTGCATAACATGAAGCAAAGTATTAAAACTAATCACACTCAATGTAAACCCATGTACATTCAAAAATTTACAAGCATCAAGAACATCATCAACCATTCCCAACTTTGCACAAGTTTGTATAAACAAGTCAAACACAAAAGGAATTGAGCCAACAACTTCATAGCTATCAATTAACGAATGAAGAACAGTGAATACTTGAGAATTACCATTGGAGGATGCTTTCATTAAAGCTGATTCTAGCATTGCTTTAGCATCCTTGATAAGCCTCGATTTAACTAAAATGTGAATTGCTATGCAGTAGGTTAAAAGCCCATGTTTTAAATGCATTTGCTGCGCTGACCAGTGGAAGAAACTCAAGGCTTTTCTTGAATTAATGGGTTCTTTGAGCTGTAGCAGTATGTTTTGAATTATGGAGTTGGTGAATTGAACTGCGCTGAATTTTTGTGCAAGAGCAATCCAGTTCAAGCCTTTGTGTAGAGATTCGAGTATAGAGTTGACGAGTTTGTCCTCAGTAGTGTTTTGTGGTGGTCGATTTAAGGTGTGATTATGGGTGGAGAATGTCGAGGGAATGCATAATTTAGTGTAATTTT